AAAATAAAATTGCTTACGACAAGCTTGGGCCGTATGGTCGCTTACTAAATGGATTTTATTCGTTAAATCTGACAAATATATTTCCTCGCACGAACTTGTTTTGGATTATAAATTGACGACTAATTCGTTATAACAATATTTGGTTTATTTTACGCACATCACACAAGTGACGAAAAAATTGAAAGACTATAAGAAGGTATATATCATTAGCAAATCTAGTCACAATGTCGGAAGCCCTTTATGAGAAAGTGTTACTGCCGAGCGGTGAAGTTTTACTGCTTAGCCCCTGTGACAGTCTTGCCAACGGCAAATTATTATTAATTAAAATTAAAATAGTAGGCAACGTATCCAGAGATTCACAAACAAAACCAGCATTTTATTTCCCATAATTAAACCTACGAGGTGTGTTCAAAAATACATTGGATCTTCGATATATATTTTTTTATATTGGTACACAGTTTCAGCCATTTTGCATGTTTTTTTTTGTGATTTATTTTGTGTGCTCGGCGATTTTCTGCTGTCAAAAAAATGGAACTTGCATATGCATGCATTTGCATAAAATTCTGTGTAAAAAATGGAATACAGTACTGCATAACAGTTGAAATGTTGACAACGGCAATGGTGAATCTACTTTGAGTAAAAAACATGTTTATAATACTTATTTAATATTCGAAAATAGAGCGCAAATATTTAATCGCAAGGGCTTGTGACTGGTTTCTAGGAAATAAATTGATATTGAACAAAGAGAAAACGAATTTAATTATGTTTAGAACTAAATTATGTAGAATTGAAATACCATTAAGAATACGGATAGTTAAAAAAAATATTAGTATTGTAAATAGGACTAAATTCTTAGGTTTACAAATTGACGAATTTCTTGATTGGTCTGAACATATTGGTTATGTGCTAAATAAATTAAATTCAATTTGTTATGAAATTCGAGTCGTTGCAAATTATATGAATAAGGAAACTTTAAAAATTATGTACTTTGCAAACTTTCAGTCGCGCATGAGGTATGGAATCAACTACACAAACTTTTCGCGGTTCAAAAGAGGATTCTTTGCACTGTCAAAAAAATGCAATTTAGAGAGAGCTGTAGAGGGGTATTCAAGACTGAAGGTATTTTTACTGTATATGCTTTATATATTTATGAAGCATTGATATTCTTTTTTAAAAATCGAATGGACTTCGAACTACAGATATTTCATAGATATGATACCAGAAACCTAAATGTAAATTACCCTATTCACCGTTTAACCTTAACTGAAAGGAGTCCTTATTATATGTGCCTGAGATTGTATAATAAATTACCAAATGAGGTAAAAACAATTGCAAATCTAAAAATCTTTAAATACACAATAAAAAAGTTATTGATAGGGTTAGGACCTTGGTCCATAGAAGATTTTTTCTGTAAAATTTATATTATTATTTAGCGTGAAAGTAACAGAGGGTTTCAATATTAATTGAAAATTGATTGGAATGTGTAATCGGTAAGAAAGTTATTGCAAGAAATCTCCACTTGGAAATTATTCGAAATTATTTCGATTTGAATAAACATCTCGTATATACAAGTACCTATAATCCAAAAAAAAAGTTTTTTTTTAATTCTGTATTCGTACAATTTCCTCATATAAAGTAATAAAAGCCCCGCCTGGAAAAAAAAGGGAAACCAAATATAACCGAATGAGTTCAGATCGATGTCGGAATTAAAACCCATAAAGCAAATTTCTCGATTCGAATCGACGACAAATAAAGTCGGAACGAAATTGTCGTCGATAATTACTAATCTGATACACGTTCGTGCACGGATATAGATTTACCAGATTTAATGAATAAATCCCGTTTACTCTGGAAATGTCAGTCCGTCGACGCGACGCTGGAAAGCCGCTGATCGTAAACAGAAATCTCGAGTTTGATTTTATCACTTTAATGTGTATATTTTTAAATTTGCTAAAACTTTTGTGGTTAGAATTGGGAGATAATTTCTAACTTCTAAAAATATTTTACGCTGTTTTATTACATTTCTTTGAACTGTTTTGTAAAATTTGTTATTGTTTTTAAGTTGCTTGGAAGGTATGTGCTCATGTTTAATTGTATTGTGTTGTATTGTATTACTAAATGTATTGTAAATAAGTTTTCTTCATAAAAAGTTCCATATATGAGATTTTAAATAGTACAAATATCGATAATTATTTTAAAGAAAAGAAGATTCAAATATATATTTTTAAATGTCAACTGCTTTAAAAAACTTTTTCCTAAAATTATGAACATAGTAGTTTTCCAAAATGTGTGAAAACTCCCCATAGCGAAACTCTGTATGAATGTATAACGTAAAACTCTGTATTACGAACAAAATTTGTTGTACTATTAGGGTACAAAGCTATGTATTAATCCACTCTGTATAACGAATTTCTCACTCTCTATACCGAAAGAAAAAAGGACACATCAGGTAACAAATTAAGGAATGTAGGTAATAATAATCTAATTACCGAGAACCTGGTCGTGTTCTTCTCGTAATAAGCGATTATGTTAATGCTTTTACCATCAGTTCTAATTTGACTTAGAGAATACGGAGGGCATGGTGAGTAACGCGAAAAATTTTATCTCTAGATGATAAAGTTCGGATAAAATCGGAATTTATACCGTCGACTGTATCCACGATTTGGAAGTCCAGAGAAAAAGAAAAGATGGTGGTTCCAACAGCAACGTCTTAAACATGTACCACTCTGTGGATCTGTATTAAAACTAAAAGCAGCAAAGTTTGCTGAACAGTTTGGCATTATCGATTTGAAGGCTTCGGAAGGATGGCTGTGAAGTTCAAACAGAGACATGGTATAAATTATGGACAGATAAGTGACGAAGTCCGTGATGTCAACAGAAACGTCACTAACGATTGGCTGGAGATTAATGTTAATTAATGTTGACGAAACTGGTATTTTTTACATATTGACGCCATATAAAACTGTTAAATTTCGCGAAAAGTGTGTAGGTGGAAAACTTTCTATAGAATAATAGCTGCCAATATGAGTAGGAGAGAAAAAAGAAAACTAGTCGTGATTGGAAATCCAACTAACCCACGATTTTTTAAGAACATCAAGCATTTGCCGTTCACTTACAAGGCAAGCAAGTCTGCATGGATGACATGGCAAGTTTTTGAAGAGGAGATACGGAAATGGGATGCAGAATTAAAGGGGAGGAAATTATTACTTCTCTTAGATAACTTCCTTGCACATCCCCATATTCCAAATCTATGGAATATTGAATTGGCATTTCTTCCAGCCAAAACAAAAGTGAAGTAAAAATCTTAAAAAGTCTTAAGTGTTGATACGGGAAAAACATTTTAACGGAAATGATCGAGCCCGAAGACAAATTTTCCATTAATATGCTAGATGCAGTCAACTTTATTAGTAAAGCTTGGAAAGAGGTGACAGCAGAAACAATTCAACACTCCTATCGTCATGCAAGACTTATTACCGAGACCCAATGCGAACAGAACTCGGAAGATGAGCAGCCACTAAACGAGTGGATAAAGCAATTTCAAACAACAATTACATTTACAAGTGAGGAGTTGCAAGATTTTATGGTGATAGATCAGGATTTGCCTACAACAGCAGACTCGGCAGAGGAAGCCATATTACAACAAGCAAGAAAGGGTGAGGCAGAGCACCAAGAGGAAGAAGAAGATGAAGAAGTTGATCTGGGACCACGACCAACCATTCAACAAGCCCAATATTCAGTTAAGTTGCTAGAGAAATTTTTTATGTATCATCATCATCAACATACAAGCCAAAGTACGAGATGCGTATTGGCATACTAATAAAATTCAAAAGAAAATGACCGATTATTTGAAATATGAAATTACTTCTTAAATATTTATATAAAATGTTCCTAAGTAGATGTTAAAATAGGGTAATTTTTAAAGTGCCTGTAACTATTTATAACGAAAACTCTTTATAACAAAAAAAAAATGTCCCTTCAATTTCGCTATATAGAGTTTCGACTGTATATAGCACTAATGCGTTGGCTATTCTTATCCTATCTAACATCAGCTTAATTTGTTTTAAATTAGAAGCGACTTTCTTTGATCTACTAAGTTCTGCAAAAACTGCAAGAATTATGTTTCCAAATTTTTCGAAACCCGATTGTTTCGAAAGTTGACAAATATGTCTATAGTGTCGATTAGTTTCACTTCATAAACATCAGTTTAAGATTGTTATGCGTTACGTTGGGTAAATTAGACTGTGCGTGCTTACTCGCTTGGTTGAATTGGGGTATGATTGTTGGTCAGTGGCCGTAACTTGCTTCTCACATCCCCTTTGCGGTATCTGGAAATTGCGTCGTCAAAATTAAACGCAGACAAGGGGTGGACAGCTCGAAGGCGCGTGACGATTGACCAGTTATGCGTGAGGTCGGTTACAGTCAGATTTTCGTTTAATTCTTATTTACCTCACTCATTTTCAGAGACGTCTGAGAACTGATTGTCATCTTTGTTGACCTAGTGGCTGAAATATATTACCCGACTTACATTTTTAATTTAAAAAATTTACGTTTTTCTAGATAGAATATAGTCTACATAATATTTTATCTTTCCTCCGGGGACAGTTTCTAATTTAATAAATACGTCGACGTCGGAGATAATTGCGGTCGCCTTAATTATAGTTTAAAACATCTCCCAAGAATTTTTCGCATTTGGGCTGAATATGCGATTAATTAAATGTAGGATTCTTTCTGGGTCTTCTCCTCGCTAATGCAATTTTGGCGTTTCTCTCAAGAAATATGGGAAGAATTAAACGCTTGTAACGATTATCTATCATTAGCGAGAGAAAGTAACGTAGTTTTACTGAAATTATATATACTTGAAGGGGTTTAAGCGTCAAATTGCAAGAAATAGACTGGGTAGGAGCGAACGAAAAAGGTTTATAATTACTCCTTCTAATGCTCTACTATCTAACAAGTGCTAAACATTCTGTATTTAAATAAATAGGTACTTGTTAGGGGATTTAATGCTATGATATATTTATTCCACAATTGAATTTTGTGACTAACATTTATTAAAAAACGTCCTATTTTTGGTTTAACGAACACATTTGCTACTGCAGAGATCACTTTGATGACCTGGATTGAAAGAGGACAATCAAGTAAGTAGTTGCCGAAGCACTGATCTGAAATAAAAACTTGCCTCAGTTTCTCAATTAAATATAGTTTGAGTTTCTAAATTGTAAGAACATCACTAAAATCAGTTGCGTTAATGCACCACCTATTTTATGATTTTTTTTGTCACATCCAGGAAACATTTTTGCACATCCATTTAGCAATTTTATTATTATCACTACTAAAGGACATAAAACCATTGAAATCGCTAATTTATGTGTAAAGGAAAGATCTTATATATGACTTCATAAGTAAACAAAAGCGGTACATAAATTTGTATCGCATTTTCAAGTAAATCCAAAATAGTACAAAAATATATTTTGGATTTGTATTGCCATTTTTGATAAGTCTATAGCATGTAGATTACATAGCAGAAAACGTACATTGGAAATGCTATATTGACTATGCATTATTTTTTGAAAATATTTACTGGTGCGTGAATGCGCCACTGGTTTTATCTGTGAAATAAAACTTTGTTATTGCAAGTCTAGACAAGTCAGCGCATGTAGAATAAATATCCAACAATTAGCGTGTTCTTTAGTATTAGTTTGTGCCTAGTGCAGTGAAGATTACAGTTCGTAAAATATGGCATTCCTCAAAAGGAATTAGAGGCGGCTATGGAGGAGATCGTGATGGATGAGGACTGAAAGTCGTAAATATTATTTGGATTTAAGGATTCTTATGTATTGTAGCATTCCATTCCTTGTAAATTTATGCTAAAAATGACGTGACAAAATATTTATAGATCATATTGACGCGGTCTATATTCCACCCGACGTAGATAACATAAATCTAGAGTTTGGGGAACCAGCTGATATAGTTGGAACTTTCGAGTTACATACACCGAATGATACGTCTGTCCTTCAGCAGTGTTGTAGTTCATCAACTACTGAATTCTGGAGTTCAAAAGAAGACGTATGCTTTCTGCAAACGACAGGCTTGCTTCTTCTGTCAAATGGAAGAAAGGTCAGATTAAGTACACTCACACACCTATATCCGATGAATTTAGATCATGTGAGGAACTAAAAAATAGGCTTTCTGGAAAAGCTCCGCTTGAAATATTTTTTTTGTTTTTTGATGACGAAGTGATTGATTTGATTTTAAATCTTACATTGCTTTGCGACTTTTAAAAACTGATTAAACAATTACTCAAAGAAATCTTGCGTGCGTTATGATAATCAAGGTCACCTCATGATTGTTCAAGCTAATAAAGAACGAAGGATATGTAGAATCTGCCACAGCCACACAATTTATGTTTGTAATAAGTGCAATTGTGCATTTATATACTCCATAATTTGTAAAGTCACCAAAAATGAAACCAGGTGTTACCAGTGGTGCGCTCACGTACCATAAAATATTATGCGGTTTTTTGTATCAAATCAGGTTCTACTTGGAAAACAATCTATTTTTAGTTGTTTTTTGTCGAATTTGAACTTTCTTTTGTATATTTATGTATAAATTATATGCTACATCTTATGTGCCCCAGAACATTATATAATGTTTTTTCGAAGTGGTTCGTTTACCCACTACTATTTTTTTGTATGTAATGTATTCTTAAATGCAACAAAATAGATAATTTCAGAGCAAAAAAGTATTTTTTATGCTTGGGATAATATTTGTTAATGATGAGTGGCTGCTATTGATAACACAAATTGAAATAGACTAAACACAGAATACATCTCGTTTTGTGATAAATCGACGATAATTTAAATAGTTAAGTTAATAGTGTGAATTATAGAATCTTGGGTAACATTTCAAATTCTTCTCTTTTACTAAAAACAACGCAATATAAAATATTAATCGACTTGTGGATTTACTGAGTTTATTCCATGTTAGAGCCTAGCATTACATCATTGCAACAAGAGCTCTGGGTCTACTTGAGTCTACTCACAGTTGGTATGAGACCTCGACTTAACGTAGCAAAATGTCCCGGCCCAATGTCAATGTTGTTCTCGAATAAATTAATCCACAATAGTTTCATCTACAAACAAAAATTCAAACGAGGGATTTGTTACGCGGAAAATGGCGGACCTGCGTCTGTACCTCTTTACCGAACCCCACGTTCATTAGTTTCAGCACCAATCGCCGAATGTCTTTTTCCTAAAATACTTAAGTTACAATCACGCTACAATGGATTGAAGAATGCGAACCTCTTCCTTGCAGTAGTGGCACGGTTCGATCATAAGCAGCAATCTCAGGACGTGGCAAGTCATCCAAAACGATTGGGTGTATACAAACTTTTCCACGTTTACGCTTATCAACTGCTGATAGAGGACGAACGGCGTTATGATTAAGCATATGATACAGTTTAGTACAGAAACCTATAATTGATGGAAATTGGTGTTTGGAATTTGAAATGATTTGTTCTAAATTGAGAGCATTTTCTACAGGAAATAGATAGTACGGATTTATGAGCATGAGCATAATTGCTGATAGAGTACAAACGGAGTTATGTTTAAGGAGACGATGTGTTAAGCGAATTGAAGCAAATGAAATTTTCTGTGATCTTTAGCAGAAATTTGGATTAGCGTTTGGAATTTTACGCTACAAGTATTTGAAACGATTCGCACTAAATTGAGATAATTTTTCGCGGAAAATATTGCCGAAAATCATTAATAAAACAATCTGGGAATTTTTTGTCACCTCTTTGAATTTGTTTCATGACGCATTTTGATAATTGATCAAAGACATTCAAAGGAAACCTCAGTTGTTTTGGAATTTTTGACATTTCGAATTTGGACGCCGAATTTGGTTGTATGCAGTTGCTAATTTTGCGATTTTTGGCGTATAGTTTTTGTTTCTAAATGCGAATTTAAAAAATTTATTGAAAATTGATTTGTATTGTTTGGAGTGTGGAATAACCAGTTACAATGATCGTAACATCAGTTTTCATATACCAATAGTGACATCAAGCGGCTTTAACATTTCCAAGCGTAGAATGTGTTTTGCTGAACCAAATCGTAGAATATCCGTCCTATCATCGCAAGAATGAGAACTAACATATTCATGAATGTTTATATTTGCTATTGCATACTTTTGATAAATGTCTTTGACCGTAACCAATCACTTTCACGTGTTCTTTTTCAAAAATTTTATTTAACCATCAGTTGATATTCTATCCAAGCGGTTTTCGAATCTGTCAATTTTTAGTTTTGGCAATATTTTCTCAAAATATATTCAGATCGCATTAAATTTTTAAGCAAGAAATGAGATCGCTGTTTAAAACGAAAATAGTTCAAAATTCATTGTTATTGTGTTCTTGGAATCCGGTAGATTTCGGAGACATTAAATCAGAATTTTTATTTCCTGAATAATCTTTATCCTTTAAATAGTTTTAGCCTTTTAGTTCTAAGTGGCTTTAAATTAATCGCGACTTCTATGTGGACTGAAAATGTAAAAGATAATTACGATACCGGCAGAGTGATCGAATAAAATCGGTTGACAGCAACTGTGGCGTCAAATATACCATCGTAGATTTCAATTAGTTTTCGGACGTTGGCTGGTGTTAAAAAATCTAGAAAAAAAAATACATGCTGAGCGAAACGTTGATCCATATCGATTGATGTATACCGTCCTTCTTTTTTGCGACTTCTACGTTTAGAATCTTATGTACATTGTTCTGCCAATAATTTAAAGGTTTCAAATAATTCGTCAGCGTGGCCTTAAGGCTGTTCAATCTTAGGTAGATTTGGTAGACGAATATCCAGAAGTTCAACTCGAGGATCATGGAAAAGAGGAACGTGTAATAATAAGGTACGAATTCTCTCGCGATTTTTAACACTGTAGATCCGCTATTATACGCTATGATGGACCACATGTAAATGTCGGCACCCAGACAACAAACGGTAAATAGGAGAACAATGACTATCATGATTATGATTTTCCTGGTGTGTTTTGGACATCCAGCGACCTCGTCTACCTGTAATGTTTATTAAACGTCAATATTAACAATAACCCAACAAATATTTTTTGTTTTATGATGTTCGGATTATCTATTTTATAAAACTTTAGACCCTACCATCTAAAATGGAGAATTTCAAAATATAACGGTGACCATATTTTATACATATCATAATTATTAATCTTTTACTTCCAATTTATTGGTAATAAAGAGATAGCCATTACCTTTATAAATATCAACCTATATTAACTTTGACATCATTAATAAAATATCTTTTTTTGTTATTATAACTGATCATTATTGAAAATTTCGTATGACGGCTTAATTTTATTTGACACGAACAATTTATCGTTGTAAGCAGGTAATCAATTTTGCTAAAAAATTTTGCAGGACCATTGCTTAAAATGTCATATCATTCCTTTTTGATGAAGGTATTTATGCCACTTCAAGTGTCAATTCCAAAATACATAACAATGGCAGCCATATTCACCAGTTTCTAAAACTTATAATTTTACATTAGTTTTGAAATCATATTGAACACCTTATAAACTTTCATAAAACTTAACTATGTTTCTTATAGCACTCTTGCTCTTGGAATAAAACCTAAGATGATTTTGGAACTGTACTTAGCGATGTATAAGTTACCAAAAAGATATTTATAAAAACTTTTCTAAAAAAGTAACTAAAACTAAATGATAACTATTAGTTAGGAAATGCCAAATGTCGATTATATAATCATAACTTGTTGTTATTTTGTCTGTTCCTGAAGGAAATGTGCTCAGTTTTTTATAAATACCTAAATAAAGCTTAGAATTGTACTACATGCCTTTTCAAAGTGTGCAAACGAATGAAGTTGGGAAAACATTTGACCCCAGCTCATGGGTCCAGGTTTAAGCTTTATAAGGGTTTTAGCTATAAAGTAAGCTATAAAACCTTATCAGTAAGAGTAGTGCAACAGGAACGCTATAAAACTTTTTTAAAACCTGAAGTAACTAACACCAAACGTATTTTGGAAAAAGCATAAATATATATAATACATATAACTAAAAAAAAAATTGATTATTACTTGCAATTGTGTTACATGTTTGCCTTGTTGTCAGAGGGCAATGATGAGGACAATTTTTGTTTTGCTGTTACTGTTTTGATTAAATAAAATATTTTTTTATTACTGGTACCACCTGCATATATTAAATTAAATTAATCAATTCTTAAAATTATAGTAATGAATCTATCGGCATTCTAGAATTCAGTCTGAATCTGCTTAATTGAGCCTGAGATTTTTTTTTTTTAAATTTTCATCTTTTTATGACAATCAGAGTAAAGGAGAGCCCATCAATCTTCTTCTTCTTAATTATAAAAGATTCGGGCCCCTGCTACATTTACTTCAAATAAATTTAATTCTTTAAGAAAACACGTTCTGTCTTCTTCAGGGAGGATAAACTGAAAATTTTTGTAACAAAAGTTATATTTTTCTACCCTTCTTTTGTAATGTTTATTAATATTTAAATTGTCTTTTCTACTATGGTAAATATTATTAAACCTTAATATACTCTACCTTTTTCAAGCACAGAAGGTATTCCCAGAAATAATCGAATGCTCTCCAAGTAAAAACGTGGCCGACCAGGTACGTTAGAAAGAGCATCAGTATTTCACCAAGCGTCACCACTTTTGACTCTGTTTTTCCCAGTCTTGTTTCGTAAACGGCTTCTATTTCGTAAGTCGATATCAATCCCGTCACGGCAAGCGTTGCTGCGGACAGAAGGAATTAGAAGCTTCCAAGTTCGTTTCATCCTATTCCATCTACGAGTTTTACTCACTGTAGGACACCAATATTATGTATCCGATAATAAGTTTAATCCAAGAAAACTTCAGCACATAGAATCGATTCTGCCGTTTCACGGAAACCGGAAAATAACCAATCAATCGGTTTATAGTCAAAATGGCTGAGAAATGGTCGTAAAGTCGTTTCGGAAGTAATATTCCTCTACCTTCGTTGATATCGTAGATAGACTTGGTCATCTTATCCGCGAACTTCCTCTAAAAACATCGTATTCTATATTAGAAAAAAAAAACAGAACACGTAATTTCTAGACGATGAAGATATCGAGGATGAACTTAGAGATTAAAGGTTTAAATTTGATATAGCCTGAACTATTATTACGAGACCACTAAATGCAATTAAGACTCCGCTGTTCATCTGCAATTTAGAGGGTTAATTAATTGTCTTTTCTAGCCGGCTGAGTTTGTAAAGCGGGGTGACAACGGAGGCGAAGAAGGCATTATCAATTTATAAAATTAAAAGCCAAGTAGTAATGTATTAGTTAATTTGCTTAATTGTCCTTATTCTATTCCAGATAGTTGATTATTCGGAAAAATAGTTCGAGGATCGAGTTTTCAAACGTTTTGTCATCGATATGAATGTTGAATCTAAAATATTTTGCATGTGTTTGAATGTTAAATAATATGGAAGTAAACTAGCTATTCCTAGAAATTTTTTGTTTTTTAAAGAATTCGATATTACTTATCGAAACTAAAAGAATTGAAAAATACTTTTTCCACAATCTAATCGAAGTAGTGAAAGCAAAAAATGGTGGCAGTGGTTATTTATTATTACGATTTGTTGTCTTTTTTTTAGATTAATTACAGGTACAAGATTTAAAAAGTAGTCCTATAACTGCACCAATATTTTTTTTTTAAGAATCAATAATAGCATTAAGATTAAGATTAAAAATCATGTGGAGTTTCCGGGGTTCTATTAAAACTTGAAAATGAAGCTCAGAAGTACCTTAAACTAAAAAAATGTTGAAGTCATTTTACCCTAGACACGAGTCTTGTTGCTTGTTAGTCTAACAATTTTAGTTACTCTAAATATCAAGTGCTTAGGAGTGGCATGAAGTATTTAGAAAGAGAGAAAGAGAGTTTCCTGTAACAAGAGAGAACGTTGTGCTTACAGCTTCAACTTAAAAGTAATATTGAAAAGCTTGGGTTACCAGGTCAAAAGCTGACTAAAGGAAAACTATAGTTCACACTCTCATACGCCTGCTACTAATCCTGAATGGGGAAGAAGTCACTACTTTGTGTGACCTAGAATTGACGACTTCTGGTGGCTTCTCCATCAAGTTCGTATAGGTGCTAAGCTTACCGAGAATTGTGATTGTGTTAAATGTGGTGACTTGATTCATGTGTTGTTTGATTGTTCTATTGATTGGACTAGTTCAGAAGTCTTATATCGATTAATTTTTAAAGCTAATTTTCCATCCCCTTTCATTATAAAATGTTCAATCCAATCCAGCTTGAATTTGTTGCTAGGAATATTTCTCGCATTTTGAAAACATGTGATTTGAAATTGTAGTCACGGAGGCATCCTTTGACGGCTCATTAAGCTAATCGCCAAATACCAAGAAATTGCTAAAATTGCCATACATAGTAAAAAAAAAACTCTCTCATCCCAATAACGGTGGCAGGGTAGAGTAGAGTATCGTAGAGTAGATATTTATTCAGCAATACCAATATAACAAAGGAAAGTTTGGCCAAGAAAAATAACAATATGTCTAAATATTTAAAAAATAAAATAAAAATAAATAATAAAAAAATAATAAATAAAAAAATATTAACTACCTTACCAACAAATAAAAAGCAAAAGTGTGTCACAGATTAAAAACTTTTTTTATAGGAATAGTTATTAATTTTTTTTAATGGAATTATTTTTATTTCTTGTCTACCAAGAATGAATTTCTTCTTTGAAAGTTGCTTTTTTATGTATATAAATTAATGGTTCTAATGCTTTTGAATTCTAGGTTTTGAATTATTCTTGTTAGTTGGGCAAAGATTCGGTCTGAGGTTATTGCTCTTTGCCAACTCATGATATTGTAAGAGATTCCCGAGTATACTGATCAGTGGTATAAATTTAATGTAGAGGGTCTAGTTCGAAATTTATAGAGCAAAATATAAACTATTAAGTTTTGTTGATACACAGTTCATTTGAATGGACAACCTTAATTGACAGTCTTTATCTATTTTGACTCTGAACCGATTTAAAGGGCCTAGTTATTGACATGTGAATTCAACTATTTTAGTTTTTTTAGGATTATTAATATAAGGTAGTCTTTTATGGAGTAGGTCTGAAATTTTTAGATAGCGATTTTAATTTTTTGATCCTGTGGCATCCATTGTGGGCTAGTTAATCTAGTCACCAATTACCGTGAAGCTGTCAAAATTGCAGGGACATATATAGTACAAAAAAAAAAACTCTTTCGGTGGCAAGTAATATATGCTTGACCAAAAACCGAAACAAATGGGCGATAAACATCAAAAAGTCAATTTTAGCATACAGCAAATAGAAAAACCGATGACTTTTTGGACACCGCTAAAGTCTCGAAACGATTCGGTAAAGACTTTGTCCGCAAAGAATAATATCTTTTATTTTGCCAACTAAGAGGGGTCTTTATTCCGTTCGTTCGGAATAAAGCTCATCGCATAAACAAACGTTCGGGTAAGAGCGAGAGCGGTCGTTTGTCGACACGAAGTCGAAACGTTTACACGGACGAAGTGTTTTCGAATCGCTAGCTCGGGGAATAAATTTAATTTAATTAAGCTAGTTAAACTTGACTGCAACATTGAACCCCGTTTTTGCGCGGATTATCATTATCCAGCTTTTGAAGCGGAATTACCGGATTTTGGGCAAAAAAATGAACGCTGCTTGCAGGATAGTTTGGACTAACGACTCTATAAAAGAAGCCCCA